GTCTGTGGGAGGCTCGGTGAGCCATTTCGCAGGGAAGAGCCCGCAGAGCCACATGCACAGCTGGCTCTGTAGGGATGGCCAGCAGCCGCGCTCCGTGATGCAGCGGTCACAATGCTGTCTCCCCAGGCCTTGCTTGCAAACGTCTCCTCCCGGAGGTCATGTGAGTGGGACACGTGGCGCCTGTGCGGGAGAGGTGCGGTGGGCACTCGGGCAGCAGCCTCCTTGGGCCCTGGGGCAGCCCCGCTGCTCCCCCATTTTTCAGATGAGAACAATGAGATACAGGCAGGAAGGAACTCACCTCGGCCCCCAGGCTAGAATGTGGTGGCCAGGATTGGACCCAGAGCCTCCGCAGCTCACCACCATCAGGCAGGCTGCCGGGGTTTGAGCCAAGTGGTCTCAGATGCAGGCAGCGCATGGTGGGAGCCGTGTGGGTTTCCTTCCAGTTACCCTGCAGGCAGGGCCTGGAGAACACCGTCCACTGCTGGCTTCCTCGTGGGCATGGCCAGCGGTGGCCCGGCGACCTCTTTGCCAGCCTCCACACAGCGTGGGAGCACCCTCTTCCTCAGGACAGGCGAGGAAAGGGCTCAGTGGACGCACACCAGCGGCGGAGGGGGGCAGGCAAAGACTGCCCAGTCTGAGCTGGGGCTCACTGCCTGCAGGTCCACCTCCTTCAGGCTGCCCGGAGCAGAAACGCAAAAGAAAATAAAACACGTGCACGGGCAAAAATACTCTTTTTCTGGAATTCTGACTTTTTTTTCATATAATCCTTGCTAAAAAGAAGCCCCTCCCACACAGGAGGACGGGTTGAAGCCCTTTTCGCAGGCCCAGCCCCGCGGCAGAGGGTCCATTTGTCTGTGTTTTGAGCAGCCATGCGCGCGGCCTGCCTAGATTTTAAACAGATAATGTCCTTGTAATTTGGAAGCACTTACGCCAGGGCCGGCTTTGTCCGGGTCCCCTGTGTTTGCTGTTGCTGATGCGGAGATGAAAAAGAAATACTGTATCTTTAAGCGAGGAGGCGCTGAATAATGAGGCAGCCGTGAAAAGGCTAAGGCCCGAGGAGAGGAGTTTAATCTAATTTAGTTGGAGGGTGTCTGTCTGCGCGCTGTGTTTTGGAGTGTGGGAACAGAGGAGCGCGCAGCCCCTGAATGGCTCCTCCTGGGGCAGAAGCAGTGGGGAGCCCGGGGCCGCCAGTGATCCCAAGCCCGGCCTTGAAAGGGGATTACAGGCGGGCTGTGATGAGCGATTCACACTAATGCACCCCGCGGCACCGTGGTGATATTTCAAGCCACATTTCAAGGGAAGTGGCCTTAAAATAGCCGCCTAAATTGTATGAGAGCGCCGAGCACACAGCAGCCAGCCAGTTTACGAGGGGCCTCTTTGTTGGCTGCCCTGTCCCCCACCAACCTTTCCCGACCAGTGTTTCTAGGTGCAAAGAAAACTTTTGTGTCTGTTGAATTTGCTGTGACTTGGGCGAGTTCTCCGGGGCTTTCTCCAGTGAGCAGCCGCTCGGGGGGCTCGAGGTGTGGGCCGGGCGGGAGGAGCCGGCCTACTGGGTGAGAAGATAGAATTTTCCATGCACTTTTTTAAAATCTGGTAAGTTTCTGCAGCAACGTGACCCAGATGAGGTCAGGACAGACCCGACACCAGAACGGCGGTGCATGTCAGGAGAGAATCAAAAGCCAGGCCCCCTCCCACGCTGGCTGGAAGGTACAGAGCTGACGGCGCAAAACCGCGGCTCCCCGGAGGAGGGGAAGACACACTCGGTCTCCGGACAGTCCCGGAGACGCCAGCCGGCCGGGGGGAGGGCTCCGCCGCGGAGGCAGACGCTCCCTGGGTCCACCCTTCACCCGAAACTTTAGCCACACGATTTTCTTTCTCCTTTCCGGCTGTGTCGATCGTCCACAGCTCGCCTGCCACACGCTTGTAACGAGCTAAGTCTGGGGTTTAATTTCTTTCCATCGCTGAAAGCGTCAGCACTTTTTATCTTAAAGAGATTATATGGGTTTTATCTAATCTCGTTTCAGAAAACCCTGCACTGCGCTGACAATTTCCATTGACGATCACATAATAAGAAAAGATACAACTTTGATTTTTAGCAATATCCGTGTCAAAGTGTTTTATCCTTCTGACTTTGCGAGAGTGGGATGAACGGGCCTCTCTTTCAGCCCCTTTCTAGCCAGAAATATTTAGTTCTTGTTCAAAATGCGGCCTGACCCCTGAAATACTCCCTTTTAAAAACTTTATGCTTTTCGGGATGAACATTTGCAAGAACCTGAAGGCGGATGGCATTTAAGAGTAACTCTCTGAAGTATTTTTTTAGGTGGTTGGGGTAAAAAAAAAAAAAAGAAAAAATTCCTGGTCCCTGTGTGTTATTTGAAATCATGTTTAATTATAAAGTTTCATTAAAAAGCTTTGCTCAAAATTTTAGAGGCCTAATAAGATTTCCATTAATTTAAACATATCGCTATTCCCACGACGGCTCAGATGCTTTCTCTTCCCCCTTTCATCCATGGTTAAATATGTAAATAAAATGTCTAAAGTCATTCTTCAAAGAAGACAAAAGAAAAAAGCGCTAAGGGAAAGACAGCCATAACATTCCTCCCAATTCTCCATAACATTTGCCAGAGGGGGGCCGGTTTCGAGCCAGCGCCGAGCAGCGGGGGACCGGCTGCTCCTTAGAATCACACATCTCAAATCCCACACACAGGAAAAATAAAATAAAATATCTTTTCAGCTGGAGCCATCAAAAGCCGCTTTTCATTTGCTCGTTGCAGAGCATCTCCCAGGCGCTCCCGCCTCGGTGCCGCCTCCCGGGGGCAGCTCGCCCCGCGCCCCGCCCAGCCGGCCCGCGCTGCGGCCTCTGGGGAGAGGCCCTGGGAGAGGCCCGGGGAGAGGCCTGGGGAGAGGCCGGTGGGGAGAGGCCCCAGGAGAGGCCAGTGGGGAGAGGCCCTGGGAGAGGCCCTGGGGAGAGGCCCCGGGAGAGGCCCCAGGAGAGGCCGGTGGGGAGAGGCCCTGGGAGAGGCCTGGGGAGAGGCCGGTGGGGAGAGGCCCCAGGAGAGGCCAGTGGGGAGAGGCCCTGGGAGAGGCCTGGGGAGAGGCCCCGGGAGAGGCCCCGGGAGAGGCCCCAGGAGAGGCCGGTGGGGAGAGGCCGCGGGGAGAGGCCCCAGGAGAGGCCGGTGGGGAGAGGCCGCGGGAGAGGCTGGGCGCAAACCCGGGAGGGGTGGCCTCGGGCCGGGCTCCCACTGGCGCCAGTGCACCCCAGCACCCCCTTTGGGTTCCCAGCACTTTGGAGAAACAAAGGGGCGCGCGGAGCGGCTGGGCCGTGGGCCTCTGGGCCCAAGTCCGGGGGTGTCCGCGGGCGCCGGCTGACTCGGGGGAGACGTGAGGGACCCGCCTGGGGCGCGAGCGGGGTCGGGGCGCTGACAGCCGCGCCGCGCCGCTGGGGCGCTCTGCCTGCCGGTTCGGGGTGCCGGGCGAGCCCGACCTCGGTCCCCTCGGTCAGGTTGGGGGGCGAACGAGGCAGCGGCTTGTGAGAGCCCCCGGCTTCCCACAGACGCCTATCCTGGCGCTTGTTTCCAATAAAAAGGCTCTCCGGGTCCCACGGCCGCCGGAGCCCCGACCCGGGCCTGGTGGGGCTCCCCGCACCCCTGGATCCCCGACCCCGCCCCCAGCCGCGGCCTCCCACTGGGACTCTGGCTCCAAAGCCCGGACGGGCGCAAGACCTGGACCCCAAAACGGGCCGGGGCGCTGGGTCCGCCCCGCGCGCCTCTGGGCCGCCGCCCGGGGGGGGGGCCCAGGCCCCCCAGTGGGTGGGAGACTGGGCGCGCGGCCCCGGGCGCGTCTCGGAAACTCGGGGAGGTCCCGGCCCGGAGGACTCGGCGCGCCCGGCCCCCCGCGGGCGGCCTGCTTAAGGGGTGCCAGGAGCCGGCGCGCACCCCGGCGCTCTCCCGAAGGGGCCCCGGCTTGGGGGGGGGCCGGGCGTGTCCTCGGGGACTCCGCGCGAGCCCGCCCAGCCCTCAGGCCGGGCGCCCGCCGCCCCCGGGACCCCCGCCGCCCCCGGGACCCCCGCTTCACAGGCCGAGCCCGCGGCGAGACCGGGGTGCGCGGCGCCGAGCCCTGGACCCGGCCCCCGCCGGGCGGCCGCGGGCATTTCAAAGGGACCCCGGGGCGGCGGGCGCGGCGGGTTCACAGGCCGGGGCCGCTTTATGGCCGGGGCCGTAAACCCCAAACCCCCCCGCTCCGAGAAGGCGCCCCGCCCGGGCCCGCGGAGAACGGGGGGACGGGGTACCCCCCGCCCCGCCCGCCCTCCGCCTCGCGCTCCGGGGTGCCCGGGACCAGCCCCGAGCGCGCCGGGACAGCGGCGCAGCGGGAGCCGGCGGCCGGCGAAGTTAGCGCGGCGCGCGGAGGGGGAGCTGGGGCGGGGCGCGGGGGCGGGGGGCCGGGGGCGGGGCGCGGGGCCGGGGCGGGGCGCGGGGGGGCGGGGGGCGGGCGCCCGGGCCGGCCTTTCTCATGCAAAGCGGCGCGGGGCGGGGCGCGGGCGGGGCGCGCGGGGCGGGGCGGGGCGCGGGGCGGGGCTGTCACCCGCGGCTTTTCCCCCCGCGCCGCCCCGCGCGCCTCTTCCCGGGACGCGCCGCGGAGCAGCAGCCGCGGGCCGGGCCGAGCGGGCGCCGAGGGAGCAGCGCCGCGCCCCGGAGCTGGCCCGGCCACCGGGTCCCCGCGCCGCCCGCCCGGGCCGGACGCGCCGCCGGGGCGCCCGCCGAGGAGCGCGAAGTCCGCGCCGCCGCCCGCGCCCCGCGCCCCGCGCCGGCCGGCTCGGCCCGCGCCCCGCGCCCCGCGGCTCCGGCGCGGCGGCCCCCGACTCGGCCGAGGCCCGGCGCGGAGAGCCCGGCCGGGGGGCGCGCGGCCCGGCGGGGCGGGCATGGGCGGGGGCCCCCGCGGCGGCGCCCCGGGGCGGCGGCTCTGAGCGCGGGGGCCGCCCCGCCCGGGCGCCCCGGACGCCGCGATGCCGCGCGCGGGCCCCCGCCTGTGGCTGGTCCTGCAGGTGGTCGGCTCGTGCGCCGCCATCGGCTCCCTGGACGCCGAGCGCGCGGGCGACGGCCGGTGCCAGCCCATCGACATCCCGATGTGCAGGGACATCGGCTACAACCGCACCCGCATGCCCAACCTCATGGGCCACGAGGACCAGCGCGAGGCGGCCATCCAGCTGCACGAGTTCGCGCCGCTCGTGGAGTACGGCTGCCACGGCCACCTGCGCTTCTTCCTGTGCTCGCTGTACGCGCCCATGTGCACCGAGCAGGTCTCCGCGCCGATCCCCGCCTGCCGCGTCATGTGCGAGCAGGCCCGGCTGCGCTGCTCCCCGATCATGGAGCAGTTCAACTTCAGGTGGCCCGACTCGCTGGACTGCAGCCGGCTGCCCAGCCAGAACGACCCCAACTACCTGTGCATGGAGGCGCCCAGCAACGGCTCCGACGAGCCCGGCCGCGGCCCCGGCCTCTTCCCGCCGCTGCTCCGGCCGCAGCGGCCGCCGGGCGCGCCCGAGCCCGCGCCCCAGGACGGCGCCCCCGGCCGCGCGGGCTGCGACAACCCCGGCAAGTTCCACCGCGTGGAGAAGAGCGGGTCGTGCGCGCCGCTGTGCGCGCGCGGCGTGGACGTGTACTGGAGCCGCGCCGACAAGCACTTCGCCGTGGTCTGGCTGGCCGTCTGGTCCGTGCTGTGCTTCTTCTCCAGCGCCTTCACCGTGCTCACCTTCCTCATCGACCCCGCGCGCTTCAGGTACCCCGAGCGCCCCATCATCTTCCTCTCCATGTGCTACTGCGTCTACTCCGTGGGCTACATCATCCGCCTCTTCGCAGGCGCCGAGAGCATCGCGTGTGACCGGGACAGCGGGCAGCTGTACGTCATCCAGGAGGGCCTGGAGAGCACGGGCTGCACCCTGGTCTTCCTGGTCCTCTACTACTTCGGCATGGCCAGCTCGCTGTGGTGGGTCATCCTCACGCTGACCTGGTTCCTGGCCGCCGGCAAGAAGTGGGGCCACGAGGCCATCGAGGCCCACAGCAGCTACTTCCACCTGGCGGCCTGGGCCATCCCCGCTGTGAAGACCATCCTGATCCTGGTCATGCGCAGGGTGGCCGGGGACGAGCTCACCGGCGTCTGCTACGTGGGCAGCATGGACGTCAATGCGCTGACGGGCTTTGTGCTGGTGCCCCTGGCCTGCTACCTGGTGGTGGGCACCTCCTTCATCCTCTCCGGCTTCGTGGCCCTGTTCCACATCCGCAGGGTGATGAAGACGGGCGGGGAGAACACGGACAAGCTGGAGAAGCTGATGGTGCGCATCGGGGTGTTCTCCGTGCTGCACACCGTGCCGGCCACCTGCGTGATCGCCTGCTACTTCTACGAGCGCCTCAACGTGGGGCACTGGAAGGTGCTGGCCACGCAGCACAGGTGCAGAGCCGGCAACCAGACCAAGGGCCCGGACTGCCTGCTGGCCGCCTCCATCCCCGCCGTGGAGATCTTCCTGGCCAAGGTGTTCATGCTGCTGGTGGTGGGCATCACCAGCGGCGTGTGGGTCTGGACCGCCAAGACCCTGCAGTCCTGGCAGCAGATCTGCAGCCGCCGCTTCAAGAAGAAGAGCCGCCGGAAACCCGCCAGCGCGGTGGCCAGCAGCGGGATTTACAAAAAAGCCCAGCACCCTCCCAAAGCCCACCTGGGGAAGTACGAGCTCCCGGCCCAGCCGCCCACCTGCGTGTGAGCTGCGGAGGGCGGGCGGCGGCGCGGAGGCCGCGGCTTGCGGAGCCCAGGCGCGGTGCTTTCTAGCTTGGTTGTCTTTTTTTTTTTTTTTTTTTTTTAATAAAAGGAAAAGGAGGGAAAATGACCAAGTTTTACCCTCCCTGAAATTCAGGATGCTGTGATACACTGAAAGTTGAAAAAGAAGTGTACTTGGAGGTTTGGTTTTGTTTCGCTTTGTTTTCCAGGGAAGGAGAGCCCTGGGTGAAGCAGCCCCCACCCCCTGTAACTAATGTGTGGTAAAGTGGTTGATTCCTCCCTCAGCAGAAAACTTTTGTTTAGAACCTTCCATAAATATACATCTGTGTGTTGGAGTTAGTCGGCTTTGCTCTCCATTTGCAAATCAGAGAAGAGATAGCTGCTTTGCAAATTAAAACGCCTCTGCTGAGTTACAGGGGGGGCGGGGGTGGGGGGTGGGGTGGGGAGGGAGCAGGCTGGCTCCGCGCCGGCCCAGGGGCCCACCCTCGGGAAAGCTGCCTTTTAAGACAGCAACTTCTGTGCAAACAGGAAGAAAGGAGGCCTGGCCACTCAGCGCCCGCCGGTGGGCTTGGAGTCACTTAAAATCCACTCCAGCCTCTGGCCTCCGCGAAAGGTCTTTCTCCAGGACAGAAACTCCCACCAAATCTAACATTTATAAACGCAAAGGATGTGCAATACATTTCCCTCTCTCCATGAAAATAAAAAGAGAAACAAGTATTTTGCTGTACATAAAGACACAAAAGAAACCTCCTAACAAAAGAACTGGAGGCCCAGCCCTCAGGAAGCCGTTAGTGTTACGTTTTGTGGCTTTTTAATGGAAATCAAGTCACTGTGATCCACGTAAGGGCTGATTTGTGGGAGGGGACAAAGGGGGGCAGCGTTTCTTCAGGAGCTCCCAAAGGGCTTATTGACTCTTTCCATTGTTAAACAAATGGACTCTGGGTGGCTGGAGAGCCCAGACTCTGTCCCTCCCCTCACCAGGCCAGGAGAAGCTCCCGCCTGTGCATATTGTAATATATGATATTTTTCATGCTCCGCTATTTTATTAAAAATAAGCTATGTTCTTTAGTTTGGCGCTGGTCCCCTCGGGTCCTGTGGCTGCTCTACTCTGCTCGAGGCCATGGAGGGCTCTGCCATTGCTCGCGAGCAGGCCCCGGGAGCGTGCCCCTCCCCCCACCCCGGCGCGGCCTGGGTCACTGCTGGCCAGGGCAGACGGTGCATGTCCAGGCGAGCACGGCTTGGCCAGGTGCAGAGGAATGGCACGCAGGGAACGAGGAAGGTGGCATTTTGTGGCCCGGCGCAGCGCTGTGGCCATGCCCGTGGGTGCCGAGAGCGTGGACTCTCCAACCTGAAGTCGCCACCGCTTTTGGGGGCTAGAGCTGCCCATGTTATAGACTTCAACCCAAGTGGCACTCCACGGGGTCGAATTGTACCTCGACAGAGCTCCAGACCCGCGTGTCCAGCAGACTGGCCGGACAGCCGCCGTGGGCCACGTTTACAGAGCAGATGATAGGCCCTAGCCGGGTGATCAGCAGCGGTGCGTCGTTGGAAGTGCCAGCTTTGTCCAGGGTCTGCCTGCGCGGTTCCCGGAGCTGCACAGTCATGATGAGCCAGGGTGGGCCTGGCCGGCCGGCCAGGACAGCAGAAGGACCCGTGGGCACGGTCCCAGTGAGCCCGGCCACCCCGGGGTGGTGCCCCTGCCCGGCGGCTATGCGCTGTGGGTACTCACTGAGCACTTATGGGGGCCTGAGCCACCCTGGGTCAGTAGCACTGGCCTTGGGCTCAACCGGAGTGGCCTGGGGCTACCTCGCAGGGACGGGAGGCCTGCAATGCAGGGCGCAGGGAGGTTTAGAAGCACCAAGCAGGCAGGCAGAGGGATGCCGGATCCAGAATATCCTCCAGTGCATTAAAAGAGAGAGAGGAAGATTTTTTTAAATGGCCACCGCTGCAGGCCTGTTGTGGGTCACCCCTAGCCACTCCCGGAAGCACCGGCGCATTGTGTGAGCCTCTGAGGTCCCACTTGGGTCCTCTGAAAATAGAGGACTAGAGATCTGGGAGTCTAGGAGGACGGGCATCGGTGCTGCTGGGGGTCACGGCCCCGTGTGACCCCAAAGCATGTGGTTCTGCAATGACCAGCCCCGTGGCCTTCCCTCCTGCCCGCGCTCGGGGGTGTGGGCTTCCAGCTCCCGTCACGGCGGAAGCCTGAACGTCGCTCACAGTCAGTCCAGACACGCAGGCCGGGCTCACCTGGCACCAGACCCGGCTCACGGACCGTGACGAGTAGCCACGGGGCAATTTCCAAGCAGACCTCTCTGCCTAGGAGCTGAAACCCCAAGCCGAGTCGCCTACAGAGAAGGGACTCTAAGGGGAGATCAGGGCTGCGTGGGCGCCTGCCAGTCCCGGGCCCCACAGGCGCCACCCAGGCCTCCCACCTCCGCTGCAGGCATCCCAGTGCCAGCTCCAGGCAGGCCGGGTCTGAGCAGCGAGGCCCTGCAAAAAGGGCAGGTGCTCTGAGGCGGTGCTCGTCTCGCGGCCCGCCACCCCCCTCACCCCTGTTCACAGTGGCTCCCCTCAGCACTGCACCCGGCCCGGACAGCGGGCACCCGGTCCAGCCGGCAAGGGGGGCAGGCAGGGCAGGCACGATGAGCCGGGTACGAAGAACCCTCACCCACGAGAGCCCTCCCCGGGCCAAGCGCTACGGGGGTCAGGACAGCCCCAGCACTCAGGCCTCTGCTTATGAAGACCTGAGGCCCAGGTGCCCAGGTCACACCGCAGTGGATGTGAGGGCCAGGCCAGAGCCGGGCAGGCTGACCGCCAACCCTGGGGCACAGTTCAGTGAGGAAATGGGCGGGGGCAGCAAGTGATCCCGGGTCAGGATGCCGGACACTTCCTGCAGCCATTCCCCCGCTGACAGGCCCTGGAACACTATCCCCACCCTGCTCCCAGGACACGTGTGGGGGCTCGAGGCTGGGCCAGGGCCCGGGTCACACAGGGACGAGCAGGGAGCCCAGCTGAGAACCAGCAGCCCCGAGGCACTAGCCCGCCCTCCTCTGGGGCTCAGGGCCTGCTGTGGCCTGGTCACTTCATCTTCCCAGGGACACACCAGAGAGAGGCTCAGGGACGTGCTGGCAAAGCTCAGAGAGGCTTAGAGGGCGGGAAGATCAGCGGCATGGACGGCGGGGCCGGGGCCTGGAGCAGGGTCCCCAGGGTGGGGAGAGGACCCCTGGGGCGGAGGCAGGGGATGGCTGGAGAGGCCCCTGGTGGGACCTCAGGTCTGGTTTCACAGGGAGGGCGGGGAGGGAATGACCAGAACACCAGGACACTCAGCAGGACAGAAACCAGTGGGGGGAAGGGAAGCTGGTGTGGGGGCGCGCTGAGCAGTGTCTGCCCCCCCCCCGCCCCGGCAGAGCAGGTCACGGGCCTGCTGGGCTGGGCTGTGGGCTCAGAGGGGTCAGAGCTGGGGGAGCTGGACCTGTCCACGGCGGCCGTCTCCAGGGGCAGAGGGGGGAGAGGCGGGAGGGGAGGCCCTGGGCGCAGGAGGAAGGGCAGCCCCGGAGTCACGTTTACAATAAGCAGGTTGAACCACACCCCAAACCAAAGCATAAGGGGGGAGGAGTCGGGATGGCAGTGGCCGGGGTCCCCACTCCTGACCTGAGCGGCTTCTGCTCTCTGCCTCGGCCACCCAGCACCCCTGGCGTTGGCCAGCTGGCCACCTCTGCGGGCACTTTCAGAGGCGCTGTCAGGCCCCAGAGGCAGAAAGGAAGCGCAAGGGGCCAGGAGGTGCCCCCGTCTCCCATACTGCTTCCTTAGAGGGCGCGAACACAGATAGGAGCAGCGCTTCAGTGGGTTCAGGCCTGAGCCCTGCCCGCAACTTCGCCCCCGTTTCCGGCCTGACCCAAGCACCGCGGCGCCCTGGGCCAGCTGCTGGCCGCCCCGCCTGGAGGGTCAGGAGCTGGGGTCTGTCCCCAGTCTCGTGCTCGCGGCGTCCAGGGGAGGGCTGGCCAGGCCCGGGCGGGCTGTGTGGAGGCCCAGTTCTGCTGGGCCGGAGCGGACACTCGGGACGCGCCACCGCCCCGTGTTTACCCCACCCCCACCCCCGCCCCAGCTCATCCCGGCCTGCTAATGAGTAATGAGCTTTAAAGAGAAGAGATTTTCTTAGAGAAGCACTTTTCCACAGGAGCGCGGGTTCCACAGAATACCCAGCGGCCTTTCAAGTTTAAAGGCCCAGCGCAGCACCTTCCCTGCGCCCCTTTGAACGCCAGCACATCACAGCGGCTCCCCAGGACGGCGGCCTCGAGCGCGACACCTCTGCGCACGCGGCTAAAGACGTTGTAATATGGAGCTGGGGCGCGGCCAGGCTCCGGGGGGCTGCTTGAACAGGCTCGGGGACAGAGTGTGGAGTGGTTTTTCATGTTTTATTAAGAGTGTGAAGGCCAAGCTGGAGGGAGGAGGGATGGAGGCGCGTTTGAAATCGGCAGAGAATAAGTTTCAGTCGCCGAGGTGAGAGCTGTCCTAATTGGGGTCCCGGGCGGTCACACCCCGACACTGGCCGCAGCCCAATCCGGCTTCTCAAAAGTCGCTGCTTCGCTTTGTTATCATAAGCTTTTTATTTTTGTACCGGCTAGTCTGGGGGGCGGAGAGGAGAGGATTCCTCACCCCCCACCCCACCCCAGGGGCCTTGCAGGGGTCTGGCATGATGGAGGAGGTGGGGTGTTCTCAGAGAACAGGTGGTCTCACCCCACAGATGTCCTCCAGGGGTGTACTTTGGGGCATTTTAGGGAATATTTGCACTGAGCAGAAAAAAAACAAAAACCTTGAAAACCTCTCCTGACGTTTTCGGTCTTGTGGGCAGAACTACAAAGTCCTCGGCCTCGACAGATGACAAATCGGTGTCTGCTTTCAAAGGTGGGTGCTGGCGGTTACGGAGGGAGCGCAGGTGCCGACTTTGATCAGACGTGACACTGGGGCGTGCGCGCCCCTCCCCGCGACCCCCGGGGCAGAGCCGCTCCTGTGGTGCTCCCACAGCCGCCCCTCACACCTGGGCCTGGCTGCCTTGCGGAGATGCCGCTTCCAGCTCCTTCCTCCTTCCTGCTCCTCACAGCGACGCCCCCGAAGTCGGGACAGCGCCATTTCGGCTGCAGGAGAGCCCAGCCTCACACGGAGGCCTCGATCTGAACCACATTCAGACACAGCTGAAACTCGGTGGGTTTTCCCTTCCAAGGGACTTTCTCCGAGTGTTGGGGAAATAAAGGGCAGCAGACTCTGCAGGCTCAAGGGAACGTGGAGATTTCCGCAGAACTGGTGATGACACGGGCGATGCAGAAGGACAAAAACAGTAAAAACGAGAGGAAAACATCAATATAAAATCTGCCATCCTCCCACAGGTGCCAGGATTGCAATTTTTTTAAAA